AGACACACAGATACACACAGACACACAGACATACATACAGACACACATGCAGACACACATACACAGACACACAGACACACATATACAGACACACACACACACACACACATACACAGACACACAGACATACACACAGACACACATACAGACACACAGACATGCATACAGACACACAGTCACACATACAGACACACAGACACACATACAGACACACACACACACACACATACACAGACACACAGACACACATACAGACACACATACAGACACACATGACGCACACAGAGCGTTCACATGCACATCACACACACACAACTCACACATACAGAGCACTCTCACAGCACTCACACATTCACACACATACGGGTGCACACACATGCACATCACGCGCACAGCACACTCACACATACACATTGACACACACAGCACTCACACACACAGAGCACTCACACACACAGCACTCACACCCAGAGCACACACACACACACAGGGTACTCACGCAAATACACACACACTCACAAAGCACTCACACACACAGGGTGAGCACTCCCAGAGCACTCACACAAATACACACACACCCCACTGACACACGCGCACCGCCCCCACACACGGCCACGATTTCTAGGAACCGTCCCCAGGTGGTCAGTCCTGAACCTCTCCGCTTGTCCCCCTCCCCCGAAAGGGGCAACAGCAAGCATAAAACGCATGGCCCGGCGGGGGGAAGCTTGCTGATGTGGGGGTATTTTCTCTGGTTTATTTTTCCTACCCTTTCTGGCCGTATTTCTTCACTGGATTTTTGGACGTGAAAAGGATCMTAAAGGATCTTTCAGATCTGCCCCGTGCCAAAACATAACTTCCTTTTTTTGCCAAGCAAAGCCGTGTCCACTTCTCGACAAGCAGCGTGTGGGAACTCGGACTTGAGTGTGCCCCAATGATCCTATACCCTGCCTCCTTGCAGCTACCCCAGACAGCYAATTTTGTGTTTGGGTCCCCAGATGTAAACACATGCACAATCACAGATGTACACATCGAGCATTTTTTTAATAGCAGTTTCATAGAGAGGTAGTATGATCGTATATATCTAAAAGGTAATTAATTTGATTTATTATACTTGAAAAATCCTGTCTGCAGTACGGGCGTCATCTGGAAACTTCATGCTATTTTATACTATCGTTCTAAAGCCGAAATAAATGTTACGAATTGATGACAGCTTCCAGCTGCATGATAAAAATAGCCCCTTCGCTTCACAGGATCGTGTTTCATGTTATCGAAGATGAACCAAATCTGACCCATAGACGTTCGCAGCGGGGAAAAAAAAAAATGACACAAAATAAAAACCCTGGCCATTTTTAATAAACAATGGACCCAAAAMCACATGATCTTTGCGGTGAAATGGAACCCACCTTCATACGTTCAGCAGRTTCAGGAAATCAGACCCGCCCCACGTTCAAAATACAAATGTCAATTATTAATCTTTCTGGGTGAATTTGGAAATTACACCCATTCTGTTACAAATGCCACCCATTGTACAGAAACATTTGCATTGAATAATAGAGGTTCTGTGAGAATTCGAAAATACACCTCCGTGAAAACACATGAATTTGTGTCTTTCTAGAAACACCTCTCTTTTTTTTCGTGCAAATGTAGATAGAGAGGTATATGTACAGATACGGACATATTGGTAATACAACCAGCAAGGCGAACGGCGATTTCGGTGAGCTTGCGTGCATCTGCAGCAGTGGCCGTGTGTCCCGGGAGTTGCAGCCACAGCACCGGCAATGTCCGTGCCCACCACGGGACCCCCCGCGCCCGCGGAGCCGAGCGGGACGGAGGCGCGGGAGCCGCACCGCAGGCCGGGCTGTGCGGCCGCGCCGGGCCCCGGCCGGGCCTCTCGGCGCTCCCCGGCAGCAAAGCCCCGCTCAGCAGGGACTCGCCACCTTTTGAGGAAAACGTGTTGATTTCCCGCGGGAACGCCGCGCTGAGCCGCGGGGATCGAGCCCTCATGTCGAGGTGCCCGGAGCGCACGTGTGCGTGGAGCGGCGGGCGCGTCCCAGACACGGGCAGGCACGGCCGTGCGCGGCTTCGCAGCCGTGCTGCGGGTGTGAACGGGGTGCGTGCGTGTGCAAATGCACATGTAAACTTTGTAACGGTGATGCACGGCGTGCCTGGTACCTGTACAGCCTGCTTGGTGGGCGTATCGCTCACGAATTCTTCTGCCTCTGAGCTCCAGCGGCAAAACGCACRCCGGTTCTTTTAGTGCCAGGTCACATGAAATGCTCTGCTCTTTCCAGAGGGGATCTCCTTCCCCGTCTTGCCCGCTGGAAGTGGGCTTTGCAGCGGGGCTCAGGCTCCTCGCCGCCGCGCCGGGGCTCCTGCGGCCCCGGGCGTGCAGCGGCCCTCCCTGCCCGCTCCGCCGCCCGGCTCGCCGCTCGCTCCCTTTAAAAGTTGCTGTGAGAGGAGCAAGAGCTCTGGACGTAGGAAAACTTGCAAAGTCGGAGCCGTTTACCAGCGTGGCCAGAAAAGCAGTAAATAAAAGTGTCTATGCCCCGTGCACCAGTCCAGGCACCGCTGCTGCCTCACGGCTAAAACAAGAGCGATAACCAGAAGAGGCCAGCGCGGAGCGGGTGTCCCCATTTTAAATAGTGCCTGCACTAAAGAAGCTAACTTTGGCTTATGAATGCCGGACTTGCCTTTTAATAAATTCAAGCGATCACTCACAAGCCATTAAAGCGACCTGAAAGGCGAGTCTTCCGCGGGGGAAGTGGAAGCGCCCGATTATTGTTTTGCGTTTAACTTTCTGCGTGCAAACGGCACAAGCACGGCCGGGGGTTGCCACCCGAGAGGGGCCAGCACACACAGCCCTCCACACACCCACCCSAACAGCCTCCTGCACTCTTCCCCGGCCGGCACTGCCGTCCTGCTTTTGGGTATCTYCACACACTCCCCCGCGGCGGCGGGAGCCTCCGCGGGCGCGGGAGAGTGCGGACGGCAGACWTGGGACCTAAGCGTTTTGTCTGTCCCGGACCAGGCAGCGCGGAGCGGCGCGGGACTGTCGGCACGGCCTGCCGTGGGCTGCGAAATATACTTTTCCCACGCAGGAAAAGTACCGCGACAGCATCTCCAGAGCCAGACATCAAAAAGAAAATTATGGCCCGCGTGGCGGTTGGAGAGCTGGGGTCGGTGCTTCTCCTCGCAAGCCTTCGTGAGTAAATCCGCAAAGGGAGCCTTGCTAGAGGAAAGTTGACTTTAGAGACTAAAACAGCGCAGAAACCACCGAGAGAAACCTCACAACCTCTCTGCCTGAAAAARCACCCCTCTCTCTGCCGGAGATTTCAAAGCACTGCTCCCCTCTCCAGAGCCAAGCGAACACCACAAGCACCAGCATGGCGTGAACTTGAATTCAGCATTAACAATTCCAGCCCCAGTGATCGTCGCTAATTCAGAACATACACGGGATAGAGATCAACCAGTACTGCACCATTCCCCSTCACACCAGATAAAAAACCAACAGCATCAGCAACAACAACACTTGAATCATCCTTTCTGCTGTAGGACGCTCAAACAAACGTCAGACTGAAAGTTTAAAAGAATACTCATTAACCAAGTGTTCCAATATACACAAGTAACAGATCTGTGTTAAGCGACCACTAGGGACTTTACACAAGTTCAAAGAAACTTGCAATACGCATCTTTAAAATATCTCTACCCTCACCACGTTTCTCCGGGTTTACTTTACAGATGGGTGGCTCAGACTAACTCTACGATTCTTTTTTTCCTAGATAGGCTCAGGTTACATTTTGTAAAAGTGATGTCCGGTCAAGTCGGCGAGACAGTAACCCTGAAACATTCGCAACAAGCAACATTTTCGGCGCATGAAACACTTTTCCCCCGGCTCTTTTGCCCGGTGGGTTAGATTTCCTCAAGTCCCAACATTTTCTGCCCAGGTCCCACCGGGCTCCAACTTTTCCTATCTCGCCAAACCCTGCAAGGTGGCGCTCTTTTCATTGAAAACTGATATTAGCCTTACAATAATAAGATTTTGTAGAAAGTAATGTTAAAGCGAAGCCTTTCCACGGGTGCTGCAGGGAGCAGGCGACGATGCCGAACTGGCAGGAGTGGGGCTTCGGATGAGAAAGACAAACTCTTTTTTTTT